CCACTCCTTTCCATCTAGGATCCTGCGTAATGCATTTCTCAATGAAAGCTGTAATCATCAAAAAAGCCTAGAATAAGAGGGGCCACTTATTGTTGCTATATTCGTGACAGAACGATAGCAATGGCTACTATCATGCTGTTCTGTTGAGGGTTCCCTTTACAAATTGGTGTGGAGAACCAAAACGGAATAAGTCGGCGTTTTTTAGAGGGGGGTCCAAACCTCCATATTGACTTTTGGGGGCTCCAAACGTCTATTAACACATTCCCAGATAAGATCTAAAAATAGCAAGGTGTTTCATTTTGGCTGGTGGGAGGATATCTGGAAAGGACCGTGGATTCCTTTCCAAACAACACCGGTCTTCCTGCTGAATAGTCAAATAGTGGCTTCCTCCTTCTGGTTTCCCTCACCAACTCTCTCACTCAAGCACGCAGCGGGCGGGAAGGGCAGGCCTGGAGATTTCCAGCATGCTTGACCAGTACAGGGCCACCGCAAGCAGAACCACCAAAGCAACACCGCTAAACCACGAACAAACACATAAGAAACACGAAAGAAACGCAAAAAAAAACACACCGAGAAACCACTAAACACCGCACTAAACTAAAAACCACTAAACACCACTAAACACCACTAAACACCACTAAACACCACTAAAAAACACCAAAACCGCTAAACACCACTACAAACAACTAAACACCACTACAAACAACTAAAACTAAAATCCTACGGAACCGGACGGCAACCCACCAAGACATCTCTTCGCTGTCCTCCCGGATCAGCTGCACCAGCTCCAGACTGCCCAGCGCCGATGCGACCAGATCCGGGTCTCCCAGGTGTCGGGCCAGGGCCAAAGCCTCCCGTGGGATGCGCCATGGAAACCCAGGCCCGGCCGGGGCTTCTTTTTGGTTTGGGGGGGTAAGTCCCTCCAGGTGTTGGGAGCTGTTCATCTGATCTGGACCAGAGTTGGTTAATTTGGTTGTTTGTGTGGGTGCTTTTTAAATGTAATTCCTCGAGGTGTTGGGAGGTTTGATCTGATCTGGACATGTTGTTTGAGCTAAAGACAAGATGCTGACTGATCGTCCTTGATGATAGTTGGTTTGAAGGAACGAAAGGAAGGCCTTACTGAAAGTCTGCTGCTTTGCAATGAAGACCTTCAAGGTCTGCTGGTTTGAAACAAGTCTGGCCCATTGAAGCATTGAGGGAGACCCTCCGAGTACCAAGATATATGCCATTGCCAGGAAACTCTGCTCGTTTTCCTTCATTTCGCAAGTGACCGTTCTTCACTGCAAACGAGTAACAAAACACTGGGTAGGTCTCAACATGGGTTGCCCACTTTGGGTGAAAGGAACGGAACCCCAATGTCCAATCTCAAACACTAACACAACCGGTAAAAGGAAGCCAATGGGAAGAAAACAGTACGAGGCAAAACCCCTTCGTACAGATTTCACCCAATTTCGCCTCACGGGCGAACTTCAGCGCCCGGGTGGTGTTGTTCCGCAGCAGCTGAAGTGCCGTGATCACGTCCCTCGTGTAGAACTCCTGGACATTTTGAGGGGCGAAGGATTTGAAGGAGATGATCTTGGCGGGTCAGTAATTCAAGGAGTGTTCAGTACCGCAACTTGATGATCCTGTGATCATGACTCAAAACCGCAACAATCCCATCTAACAAGTTTAGGCCTTTCAAAAAATACGCGAGCTAGCGCGTTTCTCTTAAATCGAGAAACCATTGAGCCGAACGGTTTTAATCAAGGGAAAGAGAATCCGAACCACTTCCTTTGGGCTGATTCCATTCCAAGTGAACCCACCAAACAAATGGAAAAAGGGTGGGACAGTGAACTCCCCAGATTGAAATGCAGGTGTCCTCTCCGAATCAGTGCCCTGCTTCCCCGGAGGCAGGGCCCTGGTTCAAGGTCTGGAAAGCAAACCGCACAGCTCGTGTGAGTCAAACAAGAACTTGGCCCTTCGAAGAGCAAACGTGTCTTGGCTTTCTATCCTTCAATGATTCCGGCTCATGGTAATATAGGGGGCTAAATAGTTAAAGTTATATCTTGTGATAACGGCTTAATTTGGCAGTAAAGTACCCCCAGACCCCAGTCCAATTCCTTAGGCCCTTGTAGTATCTCGATGAGAGCCCCGCTGTTCAGCACGCACAGGATAGCTTGGGGCCATCCATTAGATTGGCTCGAGAGGTGACAGCCCCTGCATACTGATTGAAATTCCCATGAACCAAGTGGTAGAACCACCCGGTTAAACGGACGCTGCTCGTCTGAGGGACCCCATGCTCACACCAGATTCTTTCAAATTCATTGAATGATGCGCTGCATCGATCGTCAAGCCACGCGCAAGCCAAATGCCCCACTCCCATAGCCCCTGCAGAGAAAAGATGGCTCCAAGGAAAGGTTCCACAGCTTGTTTCGGGAAGGTCGGGAAGGAAAGGTTTCAGACACGGAGGTCTCAACATCCCCTTGCCAGCCGCGCCCATGGCCAACCCGTGTGCGAGTGGGGCCAGTGGAATCTGCTTGGATCGCTGTTCAAACATCCTTAGGACCCACCTCAACCCGCTGCGCAGTATCCCACTGATGCTCAAGCATCCTCATGTAAGTGTCAGTGTGTCCCCCCGAAATTGGGGGCATCTTATGAATAGACCGCCGTCCCCGGGCAGCATGGAGGAAGCTAGTCTGAGAGCTCCGGCCTCCTTTCTCCTTTTTGAGGCTGCCCTTTTTGGGGAGCCTTCTTTGGCTTTTGTTCTGACTGGGAGACTCTCCATTCTTGTTAACAACTCAGTGTGTTCCCCTATCTTCCATCTTGAGATCAAACAACAGGTCACCCACACTCCGGTCTCGCCCCAGCTCAACTCAACCTCCCGCCCCAACAAACCGAGCCGCACGCGCTCTCGCCTCGTGGCGCCGCTGCTCGCGCACGCACTGGGCAGCCATCTCCGTGGCCAAGGTCAGCGTGTCTGGGTCCACCTCCGGCGCCAGGACCTCTCGAGACGGCGAGGAAAGTGGCAGCCAGTCCGGGCCCAAGCTTCCGTTTTGAGTCTCACTTCCTGAGTGGATGATGGCCCAAACAAGATAATGTATTTGTCGGATTTGGTGGTTGCCGCGAAAAGGGTCTTCCCAAAAAGTATGAAGTCCAGGAACTCAGGAAGTAAGGAGTCGTTTCGGAAACCCTGGTAGACAGGGGCAGAGTTAACCATTTGGAGCAGGTAAAGGGACAAAGGGAGCCACTGAACAGAGAAAATATGGCAGCAATCGGGAATTGGCGGAGAAAAATGTGAAAAAGCAAAAGCATGTTGTCTATTCTAAACATAGGCGTCGGAAACCTAAAAATGGTGAACCACCATCCAACATAGCAGAAAAAGCATTGGGAAAACTCATGTGAGTCACAATCAACCCCTGGAACTCCAAAAAAAGATCTAATTGCCCGAAACATAGTCAAGAAACAAAGGGCTTCTTGCCATGCCTATGATAGCTTGAGACTGCCCGCTAGCCTTCATCCATTTCGGTTCTGAGTGTGTGATTTTGTGGCTGAGTGCCTCACTCGAGGTTTGACCAGCACCCTTTACACGGAAAAAAATAATTACCCCCAAAACTAAACGCCATGCACCAAAATCCCCGCAAGCGCATGGAGTTCAGGGAGCTTGAACGCTTCACAAACCGCCATGTCAAATATGGTATTGTCGAACCCCTGCGTTCAAAGGGCTGGTTGGAATTTTGGAGGATCAAAAGGGAGCTAGGAATTGTACAAGCACACAAACACCAGATAAACAAAACCTGCTGGAAATGATCCTGCTACCCCATCTCTCAAACAGGCAAGTCACTGTGCGTAACCATGCTTCCAATCGAAACAGAAAGGGAAAGTCCAATTGTTCAGCTGGTGACCAGCTAGTGTCTTGCCTGGGAGCCTCAGGGATTCTGATTTCCGGCTACTGAAAACCCGAAATGGGCCATCTTATGACAACTTTGTCTTTTCAGAAGGGATCACGGGAACATGAAATCCATTTGTTCCCACCACCCGGATGGCTCAAGGCAAGGTTCAGGAACCGAAGCTGAACTCGGGGGCCTCTGTCCCAACCTGGGACGCACGCCACCTCATAGCCTCAACCAACAAGAATAGGTTTGATTCTATATAGGATCCAATTGCACAAAATGAACACTGAAACAATTACAATGATGATAACGAGGATAACCATGATCGTACTGATAATCGTGATAGCGGTAGCAATGCCAATATGACTAGTTCTAGCAATAGCAATAGTATTATGTTTTCCCCCAACAGCTGACAGCTTTGGGGTCTCAGCCCAGATAGGCTCCGGGGTGGTCCGGGGCGACCCTGAGGTAAGGTTCCCCGAGGGTTCCACCAAGGTTCCACCAGGGTTCCACCAGGGTTCCACAAGGGTTCCACGAGGGCTGCGGGGCTGTGCGAGCACTAAAAAGAGCACCGCATGCTGTTGGGGATATCACCCTGAGCTTATTACGTGATAGTAATAGTTATGTTAATAAAAAAAAAAAAAAAAAAAAAAAAAAAAAAAAAAAAAAAAAAAAAAAAAAAAAAAAAAAACGCACACACACACACACACACTCAAATAGACAAAAGAAGGCTTGATGAATATTGGCCTTCTTGCGGCTTCTGTGCAGGAGAGGATTGGGGAACCTCCGGATCCCCTCCACCGCCTGGCCTGATCCCTCAGCTTCTGCTCCAGGTGGCCCAGGCTCGCCCGCGCCTTCAGCTTCACCTCAGAACCCCCCCCCGCGGTTGAGCCGAAGCGCGTGGTGTCCCGGAGGCGGTGTCCCCTTGTCCCTCCACAACCAGGGGTTCAAATCCCAAACCCAATCCAAACCACCAGAGGGTAAGGGGGGGAGAGGTAAAATGCATCCCAAGGAACGCATCCGGAACATTACGTCCCGCAAATGGACATGAAACCCCAAGAAAGGCAGCCCATAAAGAGCGGCTTCTCTGAAAATGAGGCGGAGGCTGCTGAAAACGCAATGAGGCTCGACTTGGGAACATTTTCAAGGAGGTTGTCCGTCAATGCCTGCCAACATGGGCAAGTGGAAAGGGGACAAGTTACTCTTCTGTGCTGGTTTATGCGCCTTCTGCTGCTTGTGCTGCTTGTTGCTTCGGCGATTTGTTCACTTTTCCCGAAAAACAATGAAGGCAGCAAATCAAAGCTCCAGTGTATTGGACCCTCCCTCTTCCCGCGGGCCCAACTGTTGGTATTCCAGACTGGGGCACCCCCTGTTGGATAGCTTCCAAAAGCTGACCAAAGAAGCCCAAACCATTTGAAGCCTCCCCTGTATTGGTCGAACCCAACTTCATGCCTTCCCCCAAACCCCCGTCTCACTCATTACAGAAAAAAACTCCCTTCTGCGGACGTTCAGGTCATGTTCGCTTCCGGGCCGCCACGAGCCGCGTGCCCTCCTGCTGCGCCCGCGGCAGGAAGTAGTGCAGCGCCTCAGGCAGCACCCGGCACCCCGGCGCCAGCGCCATGGCCCCCAGGCGCCACGAAGGCGCGCGGGGCGCGCGCGGCGCGGCGGGGCCGGCGCCGCCGAAAGCTGCGGGGGTGGGGGTTCGTGTCAAGCCGCAGGACCGAGAAACGGACATGAATTGAAACATTTCTGGAAAAGAGGAAAGAAAACCTGCGGGGGGGGGGGTCAAGGATTATATAGGATTCAAGGCTCGGAGTAATGGCTGAGAGTGTTGATGCTTAGGCTGAAGGCTTGGGGATATGGAAAAGGGCTGACAGGTGGAAAGACAAGAACTGAACATCCCAAATCATGCTCCATGACTTCAAAATCTAAAAGGTGGGTCAGGTCGGCTGTGCACTGAGCTTTTCTTGCAGAGGTAAAGGTTTCGTTGGGACGTGTCTGCTTCACGGACTGCTCCCGTCAAGTTGACATCGTTCACGTAAACTGTTTACTGTACGCGGAAGCAATACACAACAACACAACAGAGTCGGCAAACAGGAAAAGAACACATAACCCAAAAGCAAATCAGCCTAGACAAGAAAACCAAACATCAATTCCATAGGAAAATCAGCTCTTCCTTCACAAGTCACAAGCTCTCCGAACCCAATCCCCGCCCCCGCCCCCCCCCCCCCCCGGTTGGAACCCTTGCCTGCGGGTTGGCTCACTTGGCTCGTGTCCACGAAGCCCACGCAATAGTACACCACGGGCCCGGCCTTGTCGCACCAAAAAGACACCCCAAAAGACCGGCAAGGCATTTCTTGATTGCGTGCGTTATCACTTTATCTATTTCGTCGCCTATTTATTTGTTTGTTTCTTGACTGGTTGGTTCATCTTATTCACCTCATTGTGTTGACCTTTCTTGGCCTTACGCGAGTCAAAGGCCGGAGCGAGCGTAGCACATCGTGCTTGCCTCTTATCGTACTTGCAAAACGAGCAAAGCAGGACTCGGAGGAGCTGGCCTGGTTTTGTTTGCCGAAGCAAACCCCTTTGAGACTTTGGGCCTTGGGCTTCAATGTAATCCCCGCTAAACCAAAAGGCAACACGGACCGTCTCGGGTTTTGGGCAGCGCTCAACTGGGAAAGGGGTCCCAAAGCTGGTGCATCCCTCCACCTCGGCTCGCGACGGCGGCAGTCGGCTGGACCGACTGCTCGGGCATTGACACCTCAGCGAGACAAACGGCCCATCGGCATCGCGGGCCGGGATGGTTGGCCCCAACACTTACAACCGCAAACCGCAAGACCGTGGCCAATTCCCAAGACACGCGAAAATAGGGTGGCCTGCCTGGCTTGCGGGAAATTTGGGCGTCCAAAAAAGCCGACCGGTGACGGCAATCACAGTGGCCCCTTGGATCTTCATGTTGTGAAACGTTCTCTATACGTTCACTTGACCCTGCATGGCGACAATCAGCGGAATCAGGGTTGGGCACAAACTGCCCAAGTAACCGGGCTTGTAAGGGGAACCGAAAGCTGGCTGCTTAATAGACTGGCTTTAACACGTCAAACTGCGGCTGGGCCCAACCCTGACGGCAATCCATGCGGTTTGCATCAGTGAGCTTAACTGGAGCATTGGGTTGCCTGGTAGTTGTTCAGACTGTCCCAAAGGAGAACTGCCTGAGGTTAATCTCGAGGGTCTGTCAATCCGAAGTGGACAGTGAAGAGGCTTTGAGTGTCCGCCTCCTTTGCTTGGTTGGAGTTGACTGTAAATGCTAACCTCGGAACAGTCCGGAGAACTATAGTAATCTGAGGAATACGTCCAAAATGAAGTGGATCCTCACTTAAACTCCTGATTCGCATGGTCCTCCGCATCAATCCCAAGTTGACATTGACCTGGTTGTGATCTTGCTTGGCTCAGGTTAACACCGCAATCCAGTCGGCGGGGAACCGGTCTGAGAATCTCAACATCATTGGCTAGAGTGGTCCAACATCATCCGCAAGTATTTCCCGGAATTCCGCAGTGTGCTGTAGACCTACCACGCTTGATTTACGGCAACAAGAAATACAAACTTGTTCACCTCAAACCTGTCTTTTGGCTT